CATTGCACCCACTGCTAAACCCGTGAGTAAATTTCGTTATGCAAAGAAGTTATATACATGCGCATAGCTATAAAAAAATACAACCTCGCTATATGTCATTTCTTATGTTAGACTAAGAAAAGTTAGATACATCATTAAAGAGGACTCCTATGAAGTTGCCAAAGAACGAGCAAAAATGTGTTCAATTGCAAACCTAACTGTATTGCGCTTACATTCTTCAATAATGGTAATTCGGAAACTACATTTTTATCACCCTTTCTTCAATGCTTTATACTAATCATACATTTTCATTATTTCAACTTATTTCATTCAAAATTAAACTTTTACTATAGGGAAACTACTACATTGTTGCGCCATATCCGCGACATGAAAGTCATTTGGGAGTCCACATGTGCACAATACACTGTCTAACTCACTATTAGTGACAATTTTGTATCATGTCCGATCTATTTCAAATCATACAAATTCATATCCATTCCCCCATTGTGATCAACAAAAGTGATGCCTACTGGGATAAACAATATGGAGAGATACTAAATTCTATCAGAGACCAATCTTTATCTTTCACTATGAGGGTTCATTATGTATGTTTTAGGGAAGCAACTCTAATCTTTACTATATGACCTTCTTAAGTAGTGAAAATCAACTATGTATATGTTTTCCTTTTCTTTTTTGAACAATTGCAAGAACTTCTTAGGCAAAATACACTTTCATAGCCATAAGTATTCGCGTTGTGACAAATATAGCCACTTTTTGAAAAATACACTCGTATAGCCATTCCGTCCAAAACTTTAACGAAAACATCTTAAATGTTGACTGTACTAACGTTTTCTGGTGACGTGGCAATTTTTTATTTAAACCAATCCTAGGTGGAAAGTATCCTTTCTTATTATTATTATAATTACACTAAAAAGTAAAAATAAAAATAAATAAAAATTGAAAACTGTCCTTCATCATCTTCTTTTCCCCTTCTTTCCATCTACCCAACCCAGGAGACCCATCCCGATTCTCTTCCTCATCGTCCATACATCCACGACCCAGATCATCTCCCACGGTAGAGATCTCTCAAACGCTTCTTCCCCTGATTATGATTCCACTTCCTCCAATAATGGCGGCGGGGAGCGGGGCTTGCCTCTGCCGCTGAAACCCTACAATAGGTACGATGCACAATTGCTTACTATGTAGAGCAACTTGAATGCCTACGAGATTGCGGAGCTCCGTTGTGGAGGAGAAAAGGGAGAGGAGTTCTCCTTGGAGCTAGGAGGAGGCCAAGGAGTCACCATCAGCCAAGGAGTCAAGGTCGCCAACTCCAACAATCTCCTCCGACGCCGCCACTGTCGCGAAGCTCCGCGATTTATTCAGTTCCTTCCGACTTCTCCACTGGATCGATTTATCCCATCGCGAAAGTCGTTGTGGACAACTTATGCGAGAATTACAAAGCGGCGACGGTGGCCAACTGGGAATGACGGCCGTTCCTCCTCTTCTCTCATCGTCTTGCTCGATCTGGCCTCCCCTTTCCTCTCACATCTTGTCCGCGAAAATCCCAGATCAAAAAATTGAAGAACCCTAATCGCCATTGAACTTACTCCTTGAAAAATTTCAGATCCAGAAACTGAATAACCCTAATTGGGGGCACCTGCCACCATTTTCACCATCAAATCCTCATTGAAAAATCTTTTATTTTGTGTTTTTGGTAAAATTAATTATTTTTTGTTAAAAATTACTTTTAGTATGACGTGGCATAAAGACGTCCAGTTGGCGATGACGTGTCGTTCAGGTGGCATCCACCTCAGCGACACGTAAAGGTTATTGACGGTGTTAGTGACGATGTTAAAGTTTGTAACGGAAATGGCTAAAATTGTCAAACAAGTTTGAAAAAATGGCTATATTTGTGTATTTTTTTAAAAAGTGGCTATATTAGTCACAACGCGAATAGTTATGATTATAAAAGTGTAATTGGCCAACTTCTTATTATATTATAAGCATTTTTTTTAACATAGACAGTAGCCAGGTAAATCCCTAGCCAATACAGAGTCAAAGAACAAAAGATAAACACCGTGCGGTAGTCGACAAATAGTCGAACTTCCGATGAAAGGGCATGTTATGCCACAAAATGGGCAGCCCTATTAGCAGCTGTACCTACAAAATGAGCAAACACATAGCCGCAAAAGGTAGAAATCTATAAACATTGAGAACAACTGCGTCAAAATCCTTGCTCTTACAATCTCAAGCAAAACGCTTCCTCGTCGAGGATTACCCAACCGGCCACTAAAGGTACCAAGCAGGAAAGCCATTCCCACCAACAACTGAGTCTAAAAATCCAAATGAGAAGTGTATATGGAATGCCTACCGAAAAAGCAACCATTCCTTTGAGAAAGCCATTTAATTTGTTATAGAGAACAAGAAGGGAAAAAGTGCACAAAACAGGATGCAACCACAAGCAAGGGATAAATACATCCCTAATTTCCAACCATAATCAGAGAACGACGGAAATAGGACCAAAAACACAATAGAAACTAAATAAAATGGATAAGAGATTTGATAAATAAAAAAACTCTAGGAAAAGCAGTTTAGAACGTGGCAAACTCAATCAAAAAATAAACAAACGTGGAATTATGATAAGGGAAATGAAACGGTAATTATGAAAACCGGAACACAAAAAGAATTAGGGAAAAATTAAAAGTACTTATCTTGGGACGGTTGGAATCCACCGTGAGTTGTAACCGTCTGCCCACGAATGAGAGAAGCAACTGCAAAAGATTGTGACCGTCGCACTTATTGCGGCCGCCGAAAAAAGTGGCCATCCGTCGGAAAGATTCGCCGGTCCCGGGACCTCAGCCCGCAACTCCTTTGAGATCATGCAAAAAGAGAGGTAGAATCCCCCAGAAAAAGAATTATATGCGTGAAGGAAAGACGGAATCGGCGACGCACAATGGCGTCAGGCAGCAAACTGCTGAAACGCACGGTGGCGGAGGCGAGGATGGGTGCATATTATCCCACAAAGGCCTTCAAATCGCCCAGTCCACCAGTGCATGGAGACGCTTCTGTAAACGAAGCGGCACTTGGGAGCCGGAGGGGATCTCTTGGCACGCTCTTTCTCGTCCTCGTCCCGTCGACCGGCACCACCTTCTCCTTCTTAAAACTAAGTCCTGCTCCCTTCCGGAAATAACCGCTACGGTTTCCGTCGATGTCCGTCAACCAAGCGGGCGGTGAAGACTTCCTCGACGAGACCTTCTTCCTCCTTCTGGGTGCGACGACGACAACGGCAGGGTGACCACCTTCTCGACGGCGACGACTCGGCTTCTCCTTCCTTATTGGCGATAGCGCCTAAATCCCTAAAGATATCAATCTTATAAGCATTTTACATATGCATATTTTTTGTCTAAACTTTTCCGGCCAAGCGGCCGGGCCCTGTGCTAGTATGTTATAAAATCTGATTCAGCGGCTTCCTACCACTAAAATCGCCTATCAATTTAATGCCGGTTTCGTGTATTAAGGTTGGACCGAGTGGAGCCGTAGGGTTTCTACTTTCTGGAACATTTCTATCATCTCAAAATCCCTAATCTCCTTTCTTTGCCGCCCCGTCGCAGCCAACCCGAATAAACCCCCGGGGTCGGTACAGTCACTGACTCGCTTCTGCTTCGCCTGCTGTTCTAAATAGCCTGCTGCCTGATCGCGACGCCGCTCTTGTTGCTCCGTCAATCGGCCGCGGCGCCAAGTCATATGCTTTTAGCGGCGTGTTGGCCATCCTCCGAAGGTCGTCGTGTCTCCTCTGAAGCTGGATGTAGCCATTAGTCACCGAAGGTCGGACCGCCATCGCTCCGTCTCTGATTCATTGGCGTCAAAAGGCATCATTTCCTTCGAAGCTGAACCTGGTCGCTGAAGCTCGCGTCGCTGTCACTTTGTACTCACAATGCTAGCGCTGAAGGCACTATCGACTTCCCGTCTCGGAAATCGATGGTTGATTCCGGTGGGGGTTTTCCCCATTTCCCCCTTCTCTGAACTGGCAGGACGGTCAACAAGTTCAAGCTCTACATGTTTAGTTGACTGTCTGATTACAAAATTCGAATTCCCCGAAACCAAAGCCCTCTCCATCGCTGCTCGATTTCCCCGTCTCAAATCTTCCCAAAAGCCCCAAGCTTTGTTCGAGTTCCTGCGAGGCCTAGGGTTCTCTCTTGACTGTATTCAGTCTACTGTCTCTGGGGCTCCGCAGATTCTCTTCGCTAACGTTGACAAGAACCTTAAACCCAAGATCGAGCTGTTTCAGAAATTGGGTTTCGAGAGTCCTCGTCTTGTTAAGTTCCTCTCTAAGAATGGTGCTGTGTTAACTGCTAGTCTGGAGAAGAAGCTGCGTCCTCGAGTTCATATTTTGCTGGAAACTTTCCATCAGAAGGATGTGCTTAAGGCTATTGAAAAATGCAGTTGGCTTGCATTTATGTGCCCACATTCTAGATTGCTGTCGAACGTTGCTTTGTTGCAGAGCTGTGGCATTGTTGGGTCTCAGCTCTCGATGCTGTTGAAGATGCAGCCTAGGTTGTTCATTAGGACAGATTGTAAAGTTAGAGACATTGTTTCGAGGACGTTGGATTTGGGGTTTTCAGTGGAATCACGGATGTTTATATATGGGATGTGTGCTGTTAGTGCCTTCAGCGTGGCAACACTTGACCGGAAGTTTGCTGTATTCGAGGGTTTTGGGTTTTCAAGGAGTGAATGCATTGCAATGTTCAGAAGATCTCCGACCATGCTGGGTCGCTGTGATGAGAAGTTAAGTTCTGGCTTGGATTTCTTTTTGAACACCGTGAATCTGACAAAGGAGATGGTGGTTCGTAGTCCTGCACTGTTGATGTATAGCATGGAGGGAAGAGTTATTCCTCGATATCGAGTTTTGAAGACTATGGAATCAAAGTTTCTGTTCAAGAAGAAGCCAAGCTTTAGGTCTGTTATGAGTCTTACAAATGAAAGATTCGTGGAAAAGTTCGTATTCATGTATCCAGAACATGCAGAGGAACTATTAATTGTTTACAATGGTCGCAATGTGGATTCCTCTGCAGATGCAGCTTATTCATAGTTGTCAGTGATTTGATTTCATCCAGCCACCTCACCTGGAGACCTTGTTGCAAATGCTTTTGATGCGAAAGATATGTTGGTGATTTGAAATTTTGTTGAGGGTCCATGGTTCTTAGAAGAATGGAATGGAATTGCAGATGTAAAGTGATCATCTTGGACATTTTCTATTCATCTTGTGGCGAAGTTGACAGCAAGAAAACCTTTGTGGAGGCCATCAGTATTGCAATGATTTTATCAACAAGTTTACTTACTCATATTAGTCTCGTGAGGAACTATTAATTGTTTACAATGGTCGCAATGTGGATTCCTCTGCAGATGCAGCTTATTCATAGTTGTCAGTGATTTGATTTCATCCAGCCACCTCACCTGGAGACCTTGTTGCAAATGCTTTTGATGCGAAAGATATGTTGGTGATTTGAAATTTTGTTGAGGGTCCATGGTTCTTAGAAGAATGGAATGGAATTGCAGATGTAAAGTGATCATCTTGGACATTTTCTATTCATCTTGTGGCGAAGTTGACAGCAAGAAAACCTTTGTGGAGGCCATCAGTATTGCAATGATTTTATCAACAAGTTTACTTACTCATATTGTCCAGAGGATGAAAGGAGTGGCTCGTAACTGGATTAGTCTCGTGAGAAGAAATGTACGACCACCTCCCCTTCCTTGTCTATGTTCCCCCCCTCAGTTTGCTGTTCAGCTCTACTCCTTTTTTTTTTTTTTTAACAAAAGATAATCATATATTGATTTGAAACAGAAGATAATTACATCCTGGAGGAAAGTCAGGCCCGGAAATCAAAAGAACGACTTGCAGTCGGGTACAAGGAAAGGGCTTTACGAGCCACCGAATGGGCTACCCTATTACTACTCCGGCCAACAAATCGAACACTAAAACCAGACGTGCTATGAAAATATTGGTTAAGCTCCTCCAAAATAACTCCAACTCGGCTATCTCTAGCATCTCCAAGATTGAGCTTATCAATGATAACCTTAGCATCCCCTTCAAACAGCACCTCCGACAGACCTAACGACAAGCACCACCAAACGGCCTCTCGCAAAACCAGCAACTCCACCACAAGCGAATCGTCCATCCCAGGAAGCCACACCCCCTTAGCCAACCAAACATCTCTTGAAGGTGTAAGAAGAACGACCCCACCAGCCGAATGCGACCCCCGCCGAACAGCACCATCCCACATACACACCACCCGATCAGCCAGGCCCATATGGATCGAAGTCTGGGGAACCGGCGCACAGGGAGGCCTGCTCGGACTAGGGTCCACTGGCAACCGGATCCACTCTTCATACTGTTGCTGAAACTGACGCATCAAAGCCGATAACCCAAACTGTTTGCCCTCAAAGACCACCCAGTTCCGGGATCGCCATATACGCCAAAGAACAGCAACCAAAGCCATAAACAGAGTAGGCTGGTGAATCAGAGCCATCAATTTCTTTAGAAACAACGGAAAAGTGTGGCGAGGAAGCCCCTCCCCCAAGTATGCCAGACCTGAAAGATCCCAAAGGGCACGAGCCACAGGACATTCCAAAAATAAATGCTCCATAGTTTCCTTGCTAGCCCAGCAAACCGGACAGCGAGGATGCACCTCCACCTTCTTCTCCAACAGAGCCTCCGTAGTAGGCAAGATGCGATTCAAGATCTGCCAGACAAAGATTTTAAGCTTGGGAGGGATATTAGCATCCCAAACCCGAATCCAGGCTGACCTATCCATCCATCCCGCCATGGATCGCCAGACTCCATGTCTCCTATCAATATCCATCGCCAAATGATACGCAGACTTAACCGTGAAGACCCCATCCGTCGTCGCATGCCAGACTAATCGATCCTCCACATTCTGGCGCGGAAGAGGGATAGCCCGAATGGCCGCACACGTACCCGGGTCAAACCATTGTCCTAACTTATCATCATCCCAGCCCCCCCCCCCAGAACACATGACCCCCGCGACCCGAGGCCCCCCCCCCCCCCCCCCCTCAGACAGCACCCGAGGGTTATAACTTGGGGGTTCATTCTGGAACCGAGGAATCCAATCAGAATTCAGCAAGGGAGCTGACTGGCCATTCCCGATTTGCCACCTCAACCCTTTCACCAGTAGCTGTCTACCAAACAAGATGCTCTGCCATCCCCATGAGGGTCTGGATCTCGGCAATGCCTCCAGAAAAGACCCATTCGGATAGTACTTCCCTTTATAAACCTGAGCCAAAAGGGAACGGGGCTCACTAAGGAGACGCCACCCAATTTTAGCAAGCAAAGCCTGATTGAATTGCTCAAAACGCCGAAACCCCAAGCCTCCCTCATGTTTACTCCTGCACAAGTTCCGCCAAGATACCCAACGAATGCGAGAATGCTCCGCAGAATCACCCCACCAAAACCTGGCCACGTGCCTGTCTAAAAGCCGACAGAGGGAGAGAGGGAGTCTAAAGCAAGACATCACGTGCAGAGGTAAAGCCAAAGCAACTGATTTAATCAACGTCTCCCTAGCAGCCCAAGATAAGGTTTTCCGTTTCCACCCCTGAAGACGGTCCAACAGTTTCTCCTCCAAGTACCTAAACGTAGCCATTTTCGACCGAGCGATAAGCGTAGGCAACCCCAGATACTTATCATGGACTCCCACCGCCCCAACACCTAAAATTGCAGCCAAAAACTCCTTATCCTCCTGGACAACATTCTTACTGAAGCAAACTGCCGATTTATCCAAGTTCACCCGCTGCCCACTTAACTCCTCATATTCATTTAGAACCTCGATCAAGTTTTCACACTCCTGGAGAGTACCTCGCAAAAATAAATAAGAGTCATCCGCAAAGAACAAATGCGAGATACGAGGCGCACGAGGGGCCACTTTCACGCCCTCCAACTTCTTTTCTGATATAGCCTTGCGAAGAAGGGCCGCGAAGCCCTCCGTACAGAGCACAAACAGAAGCGGCGAGAGAGGATCCCCTTGCCGAAGCCCCCTCGAAGGAGTGAAAAAACCCGAAGGAGTGCCATTCATAAGCACTGAGAAAGATGAAGACTGGAGGCATTCCCGAATCCACCCCTGCCAGGTAGAATTGAAGCCCATCTTATCCAATACCGCAAGAAGAAAGGGCCATTCGACTCTATCATAGGCCTTTTCCATGTCAACCTCTAGAGCCATGTACCCTTTCTTTCCCCGAGTTTTGATCTTAAGATAATGCATCAATTCATGCCCCAGGAGCACATTCTCCACGATTTGACGCTCCCGGATGAAGGCATTCTGACCATCAGAAACAATCACCGGCAACAGGCAGGCAAGCCTTTCTGCCATAATTTTGGTAATAATCTTATAAACGAACTGGCAAAGGCTTATAGGACGCAGCTGCCTCATAGTTTCCACATTATCAACCTTGGGAATCAACGTTAGCCACGTATGGTTGAAACTGCGGAGCATCCGACTAGTAGCAAAAAAGGAGCACACTGCTGACGTCACTCATTCACCCACAATATCCCAAAATGCCTTAAAAAACTTCCCCGTGAAACGATCAGAGCCCGGAGCCTGTTTAGAACCCATGGCAAAGACGGTTTTCCGTACCTCGGAGGGGAGAACCTCAGCAGTGAGGCCGGCATTCATCTCTGGAGTAACACACTGGGCAATAGGCAAGGCTGCCACCCGCTCAGTCATATTATCCACCAGGTTTTCTGACGCAAACAGGTGCTGATAGAAGGAGGTAGCTATGGCAGCTTTGCCACCCTCATCAGAAACCCATTCCCCATCCTCATTCCGAAGGCCAGCCACAAAGTTTCTCTTACGACGGGCTCTCGTCACAGTATGAAAGTAGGAGGTGTTCTTATCACCCTTTTTTAGCCAGTGGACCCTGAATTTCTGCTGCCAAAATAATTCCTCCGCCTCCCACTGCCGACTCAATTCCACCTCCATGTCTCGAATCACGTCCCAGTCAATGGGATGAATCGTCTTGATCCTATCAATCTCCCCTTGAAGAGTTCGGATATTCCGTAAGGAATTCGTCGTACCCGCTCTACTCCAGTCATACAAGAGATGACGAAGTTTTTTCAGGCGCTCCCAAAGGCAGAACATAGGGGTCCCGTGGATGGTCTCCTTCCAGACATAAGATACCATCGCCCTTACTTCAGGGTTATCAGCCCAACGGGCATCGAACCGGAAGAGGGGCCGACAGTGGCGTTTATACGGTTTATCCGCCAGGAGGAGAGCTCGATGATCGGAACCTTGGTCCGTAAAATGTTTAACCAGGGTTTCAGGGAACCGATCTAACCAGGACTGGGAGCAGAGGGCTCTATCCAACCGCTCCCTAATACAAGCACTGCCCATTCTCCTATTCGTCCAAGTGAAAAGGTCCCCTTGGTACCCAGGATCATGGAGGCCCAACTCATTAATAAAATTCCGCAAGCTTACCGAGTTATTGACATTCCAAGGGTTACCCCCATCTTTTTCACTATCAGTCAGGATCGTATTAAAGTCACTAATAACCACATAAGGAAGATTGAAATTAGAACAGACTGCCTGAAGGTGGGCCAGTTGGGCCGTTCTTCGAGTAACCGAGCAGCTAATATAAACACAAACCACGATATAAGAAAAACCAACTTCATTAATCTGGGAGCAAATACAGAAGCTGGAAGAATAAAAAATAGAAACATCAACATCGGGGGACCAAGCCAGCACTAAACCACCAGACCCCTCGACCGCATCAACAAAAAAACACCGAAAAATATCAAATCCTAAGCCCCGCATACGAAGGGAGACAACACGCCGGCTAGAACGTGTTTCTGAAAAAAAACACAAGCTCCGGGCTATTAGAACGGACCAGACCCACTGCCGTTTGGAATGTGAGAGAAGGCCCTATGCCTCTCACATTCCAGGCAAGAAGCCTCATTTATCCGGCTGGGGCCACTCCAGGCTGGCTTCCTCCACCTTCTCATTCTCGACATTATCTTCGACAAACTGTTTTTTGGGAGTTGGCGGAACTCCCACCTCCCCATCCACTTGATCCAGAGGCCGCTTCAAAATCCCAGACGGCGGATTGTGCATATTGGAACCATACTCATCAAGGTTCCCAATATCTACACCTGCAGCACTGCCGTTCTCAGCCCCTGACTTCCCATCTTTAGAATCTTTCGCCTCCTGATCTCCTCCCGCATCCTGAATATTTAAACCCACCTCGAAGGCGGCTACCACTTGGCTTACACGGCCCTTCAATGGGTTGCAGCTCTTAGGTGACGCCATCGACGGGGTTCTCTTCCTGATAACAAAATCTTGCGTCTCCTCCCCCGACTCCGACCCTGCTGCTCCCACGTCCGCCAAGAGGGGAGAACTCCTAATGCCACCGGCGGGAAGGTGGCAAGGGTGCCCCACCTCCCCCAGCACATCACTATCCCTTCCCATCCCTTCCTTCACTGCCTGCGAGGAATCTCGAGTGCCAAGGTGGCAAGGGTGCCCCACATCCCCCAGCACATCACTATCCCTTCCCATCCCTTCCTTCACTGCCTGCGAGGAATCTCCAGTGCCAAGGCTAGAGCCCGCGACATCACCGTGAGCCTTCCTCAGTTTCCGACCGCCACGAGCAACCCCCACTCTGGGCTTCACTTCTCCTATCACAGTCG